AGATAGATAGATAGATAGATAGATAGATAGATAGATAGATAGATAGAGATGAGAGTTTGGATGGAGGAAAGGGACTGCAGAATTGCAACTCAGTTATGATTTCAATAGTAACCAAGCAAAAGTACCATAAAAACAAACAAAATTTATGCTCCACAAAAGTAAATACCTACAGGGAAATTCTAGTTGTGATATGTAGACAGTAGTGAGAGTGAAACAGTCAGTGGGGATACAGTTTAACGAAACTAAACTATATAACACAAAGGAGTTTAGACTTTTAGGACAAATATGGCCATTATTATTTTTAAAGAAATATAGAGATTTTCGAAGTTTTTAAAATATTTGTTTATGTATTTTACTTATACTGATTATTTTAGCTCACCCTTGTTCTATATTTTAACCAAAATCTTTTAATTCCTGCTTTCAAACCTCTTGCCTAAATCATCTCCAGTTTTCATCACTCATAGCAGACCATATTATAATTCAAACTCGAATCAAGATGTTATATATTTTAGCTGTATATTGACAGGGGAACTTTTTGACAATCATAATGTAGGTATAACTGTATAATGAAACTGTTATTTTTATCATCATGCTCATACACATAAATTTTTGGTTGCTTCAATTAACCTTAAAATGGATAAGAAAGGGAAAAACATATAAAATATTTAAGCTAGAAAACAAATTCAAATCTATTTTGCACAACTTATATTAGGATATTAACTTTCAAAATAGTGATAGTTTTGAATAAATATGATTCCTTAAAATGTCTTGTAACTTATCAAAAATTTTATCTGAAAGTTATGTTAATGACTTATGGTATAACTAATACTAAAATAAATACTGTATTTATGAATTTACCTTTAAAGAAATTATCTAGTTAATTACTAAGTGGCTGTTTTGTTTGCTTCATTATTTTTCAAGACAGGATTTCATTGTAGAACACTGAGTGTCATGGAAATCACACTGTAGATCAGGCTGGCCTTGAACTTATAGATATTTGTCTGTCTCTGCCTCCCTGGTGTTGTGAATAAAGCATGTGCCAAAACTGTCCAGCTACAATGTGTTTTATCTGGATTGATATATAAAATATTTAAACAATTTTACTGGATAACAACTTTTAATGCATTTTAGCTTAATTCACTGAAACTGATTTTTCATCTTTTTTTATATCCCTTGGAATATTTTCATCATTTTCATTGGGAAACATTACAATCAAATCCATATTAGTAAATTTAAGGAACAAAAATGCATTTAGAGTGGCCATTGGAACAGATCATTCCTTCTTTTACGGAAGCTGATTCTAAAGGTATACTTTTAGACAGAACAGCTAATTCTGACTTTGCTATTTGCTAATATTCCTTATTATTTGTTCATTTTGAGGACCAAATACTGTAAGAAATGTAAAATTCCTTCTCAAAGGAAAAATGTCCTGTTCATCCATTACTGAACATGTCTTAGATAAATAATTGAATTATAGTACTATTTCAGATTACATTTATCTTATTGCCTACCCCATATAATTATTTCTCCAAGACTTTTTACATTTCTTGAAGGGTGATATTCTCTAGAACTTCTATTTGTGCTGTTCTGAATATAATCTTAATGGTTGCCAAACAGAAATGTAAAGTTGTATTAAAAATCACCTGCTTGTAATATTTCATATTTTTATTAAAATTCATTGTTTCTCTGAAAATTGATATTTTAAATAAATCAG